GGTCCACAACCCCTAGTCCGCACAGAATATGAAAACCGGACTGGATCCGGGTTGGCAAAAGAGTGTAACAAGGCTGGACATGCTGCCCTTATTTTTTTCAGCCTATATACTATTAAAGGAAGCTGGGTTGGAAGAAGACACCTGCAGTTTTAAAACTGGAGGAAAGAAGACCAATATGCTGTGCTGCTGATGACACCGCCTAGACAGTGAAAAATGCAAAAGATTGGCAATCTCTAACCAAGTCAAGGAGCAAAGGAAAAAAGGAGGTTAAAATTAAATGTAAAGGAGGCCAGATTAAGGACAACAGGCGCAGTTAGCCTTAGAAGTGGCAATGAAGCTGCCAGGGAGGCCAACGGCTTCTGCATTTTAGTGTCAACCATGAACAGTAAAGGCAGAAGCCTTTGAGAAGCACCCTGCAGAGGAGCCCCCCCTGGCGGGTCCAGGCGGGCCTTGGAAGGCTCTGCGCCTCCAAAGATCAGGCTCACGGGAGCTCCGGAGTTCCTGGGATGCTCCATGGAAGCCAGAATATCCTCCGGAGGGAAAAGGATCCAGAAAATCTTCCCCCACTGAGACCCTTCCCTAAACAGGAGAGGTTTCCCTTCCCTGAAGGAGTGGGGTCCAAGGGTGATTTCCGGTGGAGGGGGGCAACCCCCCCGACCTTTCAAGGCAGGCAAGACCCCCCCACACACACCCAAAGAGGCCCTTGCCAGTCCTCTGCTCCCACCACACGCCCCCTCCCGGCCCTTGAACATTTTCCCATCCGTTTTCATTTATCAGAATTTGGAGAAGGGCCGCGTTTGAAGGGAGAGAGTTTCGGTGCCTGGGGTTTTAAACTGCAAGGGGAATGGAGGGGAGGGGGAATCAGAGGCCGGAGGGGAATCCAGTGGTCATCTACAGACGGAGTTGTCAGTCGGACCAAGACTTTGGCTGCCAACGGTGGTGCCTCTGCGCACCCAGGCCAAGGAAGGGCAAGGAGCATTTCCAAAATGGGTAGCACACCCTGTAGGTGTGCCACTGAGACCCGCTCTCCCTGGGCCTCATTCCCACAGCCACAGCTGGCTTTCTGCCCAAAGACACGGACTCTCAGCGTCACCGGCTGCTGCCTCCTGCTTGACCGGCCTCTTGTGGGCACTTGCACCCTGCCCTCCAGGCTGTGGGTGTGACGGGGACTCACTGTGCCCTCTTTGGAAGGATGCTGTGCCCAGGAGGGCTCCAGCCATTGCTACTGTGCCCTGCTCTAGAGCCGGGGTGCCAGGCACAGCACAGATGCCAGAGCTTGGAAAGCGGACTTTCCAAGTCTGAAGGTTTTGGGAAGAAGGCAGCAGCCCAGCCAGCAGCTTCAGGCCTTTTAGGGGCCGGTTGCCCGGGGATGGAGGGAGCAGGAAAAGGGGGGGGGGGGTGTCCCAACACCCACCTGCCCCCTCTGCATAGAGCTCCTTGGGGAGGGCGCATGGGGGGGGTACATCCCTCCGTTTAATGAAGTAAATCATGTTCTGACCGAGGGCAACCGAGGAAGCGCCACCCGGGCATGCTGTGAGCGGAAAGTGGGCGGGCGGCTCTGCAGAAGGGCGGCAGGCGGGCGCCCAGCCGAACAAGCGGGGGGAGGGAAGGGGCGCAAGGCGGCAGGGGCTGGATTGGGACATGATCAGGAGGCCGCCGCCCCTTCCCCGAAAGCAGAAGACCCCGAGGCTTCCGGGGAGCCAGCGGGAGCCCCCTCCCCGCCCGGCGCTCGCTCAGCAGACGCTCTCTCTGTTCTTTGCAGCCAGCGGCGCTTCCAGCCCGAAGTTCGCCGCTCCTGCCGTCTCCCTCCGGTCCGCCAGCTCCCCGGGCTATTGTCACGAGTGCGCCTTCCCGTGGCATCCGCACCGGCCGCCTTCGGCCCCGGCCTTCTCCTGCGGCGCCCGCCCGCCTTTCCTGCCCTGCTGGCCCCAGCCCGGTCCCCAGCGCTTCCCGGCAGCGCCGGATCCTTGCGCCCGCGGCAGCCCCGCCGACTACCAGGCTTTCGGCTTCGGCCCCGCGCCCGCCCAGCCACCGCCGCTCGCCTTTTGGATGGGGGCGGCCGGCGCGGAGGCGGCGGCCGGCGGCGGCGGCGGCCTCTTCTTCGCCTCCCCGGTCCAGAACGCCTTTCCGGCCCCTCCGCAGGGCAGCCAGCGCCCCGCCGCTCCGCCGCAGCCCCCCGAGCCCTCTCCCGGCCCGGCCCCGCCGCCTGAGGTCGGGAAAAGCGAGTCCCCGGCTCCAGAGGAAGCCCCGCAGCCCCCGCGGGCGGAGGAGAGCAACGGCTCCGTCCAGCGCCAGGGCGCCGCCGACAGCAGCAGCAGCACCACCGGCGCCACAGGGGAAGGTGAGCAAGGCGGCGGGGGGAGGTTTCCGAGCGCGGGATCCTTTGCCCAGAGACCCTGCCCGGCCCGTGGGAGAGGGGCGCCCAAGGCCCCCGCGATGCGCGCAGTCCCGCCGCTCCGTCCAGCCTAAGCACTTCGGGCCAGCCAACGAACCGAGAGCCGGCGCCACCTGCTTCCCGCTTCCTCCCTGAAATTTCAGGTGGAGTTAAAAAGCGGCAAGGCGAAGAGGGGCGCCCGAGCTCCATTTCCCTTCCCGCTCTGCCCTATTGGCTCGGCCGTCTCGTACTCGGACCCCGGCCAGGGCGAGCGACCCCACCAAGTCATCCTGGGCCCGCCTCCCTCCCGGCTGCATCGGGGACCCCCGCCCTGCTTTGGAGCGTCGTAAGGGACCGAGCAGGAGGGGCCCTGCGCCCCCTCTGGCGTTGCTGACCGCTGGGTCTCCGCCTCTCCCCCCTCCGACCTAGCTTTAGCCACCTGCTGGGGCGGGGCTGCCGGGGACGTGGCCGCAAGTGCCGCTGCTGATTGGCGGTCTCTTGCAGAAGCCAATAAGCAGGAGCGCCTTGTGGGCGAGGTGGCCTTTCAGCTGGACCGCCGCATCCTCGCCAGCATCTTCCCCGACCGAGTCGGCCTCTACGGCTTCACCGTTAGCAACATCCCTGAGAAAATCTCACAGGTGAAGTGATCCCCCCCTTGCCTGTCCCGGGGAGGGAGGGGGGGTTACCTTTGTGGCAGGAGGAGATGCTCTTTGTCCTGCCAGGTGTGACAGGGTCTGCTGGCTTCGGGCTGAGGCCCCTCAGTCTGGGCAGCTGCAAGACAAACACCCTCCCCGTGACTCCGCCTAGAGTGACCTTTGGGGCTTTACATAGCAAAAGCATCCCCCCCAGCTTCTCCTGTAGTCAGGAGGGGGCACGGTAGGTCAGGTAGTTTCCCCCAACTACCCTTGTTTCCCCCCCCCCCCCCGCCCTTGTTCGGCCCACAGAGGCTGCTTTGCTGGACTCCCTCTGAAG